CCGGGCCGAGCCAGCGGCATCCCGCCCTCGCCCGGGGCGCGAAGGAGGAGACGACCACCGCCCGCCTGGGATCTCAACGTTTTATTTGCAGACATATGTTTCGCAGCCGCCCGGAGCCCCACACCACCCTCGGACAGCAAAACTCCTCCACCACCAATTAATTAATTAGTCATTTAATAACAAAGCGACCCCTCCCCAGCGCTACGTACTGCTGCAAGGGACGACACGCAGGGCTGGATGCAGGGCACCGACCTCGACGACCGTGGCAGTCCAGAGGCAAAGCTGTCAGGGGAATGAGTGCTGCCAACTTGCCTGGTTTGGGGGGGTTTTTTGAAGGAAAAAAGGGTCTACTCCCGAGCAGAGACTCAAGCATCACTTCCACCTGCTGGGTGTAGCTGCTGAATGGGAATGAAAGCGTTAACACCCAGATATGTAGAGATACCCAGGAAAGCGTAGCACCATGCTGCACGCAGAGCTCCCAAACTGCTTTCCAGAACTGGGTCCATCCCCTTTTTTTTTCCCCCAAATGGGGTACTGAGGCACAGAGAGGTTAATAACAAAAAATAGAACAACCGTCTTGCTCCAAGCCACGTGGCAAATCGAGTCAGAGCTCGGGGGAACAGGCAGTGCTCCCCAGCCCTGCTCCCCACATGCCAGCATGACTGCTTCCCGAGGGGAAGGGGAGACAGGCACTGGCAATGTGACCATGCCTGGGCTTAAATAAGTGGCCTCAAGTGCTGAGGGAAGAATAGAAATGGGATGGAGAAACGGGTGTGGGAATGGAGATACATCGAGCCCTGACCTCCCTGAAGCAGTGCCATCCCTTGTGTTGGTGAGCAGGGAGATGCTCTGAACAGCCACAACCTTTTGCAGTGGTGTCAGCTTTCGGTCGCTATTTCCCAGGCAGCAAAAACAAGACACAATTCCACCCTTGCCCCATGCCAGGACCACAGGACACACCGTCTCACCTCTAGCCTGAGCCAGGGATATTTCCCAGTGCAGCTCTCCTCTGCCCAGAGGGCAGGGCGCTCGGCAGGAGCTCTGACAAGGAGCACACACACAACACTTGCAAAACTTCAAAGCACAGCAGCTTTGTCAAGTGCAGGATGGAAACAACTCTGCTGAGCATGCTGAGGATATCACGTTCCCAGTCAGCTCAGGCAAGGGACACAGGCACCAAAACCAAACTGCTTGGAGCAACTGCTCCTGAAGAGACCCAGCAGGCTCCAGTGACCTCCTCAGCAGGGGATGTAGGACAAAGCCTGCTCCCCAGCATGCCAGGTTTCCCAAAGAGCCTTGGTTTGGAGCAGCAGGCACCTTCCTCTGGACACTCCTTGGGGTTCTAAATCAGCAAAACCAGCCATGTCTGTTCTAGCATCAGCAGCATGTCCTGCTTCCCAGGTCAGCAAGCAACATTAACTCTGTTGTCCCTGGCATGCTCAGGAGAATGTCAGCCAAACAATCAACTTCAGGAAAGCTGGGGAAGGCTGGCAAAGACTAAAAAAGTCAATGAAAGAAAGCAAGAGCATCTCCAGCCCTTGGAAAACTCATCTTCTTGAATCTCAGTTCTTTGGTGTAGTAGTCTGCCTTGGCCGAGCAGCTAAGACTCCTTGGCATCTCTGCAGTGACAAGAAATGTACTTGCAGCTTTGTTACTGCAAGTTTTGTTAAGTGTCCGGCAAGATAAGTGTGCGTGTTTTCACGGTGCTGCAGCTCTGCTATCCCCTCTGCTCTCCCCTGGTCTCCTGGGGCTGTGAGCCTACAGCCCCAACAAGAAGGGAGAGGCGTGAGTGATATGGAAGGATGAGGAGAAGATGCTGAAGCCCCAGCTGAGTGCTCCAACCACAAAAAAAGGGCATGGGAAGGCTCAGCAGCATTATGGTGACCATTGAAAAAGGAACTAGTCACAGAGATGGGAGAAAAGGAAGCCCAGGGGCCTGGGTGGCAGCTGCAGGGATGTCAGGGGCCAGTTCAACAGCATTTGTGACCATAAGGATTTCTGCCAGCACAAATACATTCAGGCAGCAAGCTCCTGACTAGGTTATGAGGTTACAAGAAGATCTATTTGGGCTTCAGCCTTGCAGTTTAGCAATGTGTGTTATCTAGACTATCCTCACATTAAATGAAAATTCACTTGGTAGCTGCTATGTCCATCCTCTTCCTCCTCTCCACACCAATGCACCACTCAGCCATCATCATGGCCACCTCAGCACCAAGAACCATATGGCCACCAAGGAGTCACATTGTACAGCAAATAACCCATTTTTAAGGGTGGGATTGCTTAAGCCCATTTAACTGCGGGCTGATGCGTTCCTGTCCCCTCCAGCTTCCCCCGCTGCATGCTGCTACCCCTTGCCTTGAACTAGTACTGGTGTGTGTGCATCCAGGCAGTCCAGGGAGCCATGCCAGCTACAAACCAGTCCCTGGTTGTATCAGCTGAAATTAAGCAGGACAGGCCCACTGGGCAGGGGAGATGCGAGGCTGAGGTGGGAAAGCACAGCCAGCGGGTCTGGAGGAATCCAGGCAATGGAAACTCAAAATTAGAGCAGTTTCAGCCTCTCTGGAATTGCACCCTAACACCTGAGCAGGCATTTTGCAGGGGTAAAATACAAAACTAAACCTGCCCTGAAGTGCCATTTTCCACAGCAACTGGGCAGTTGGGTATAATGACAAGGACTCAAATGATGAGAGAGGTGATGAGACGCTTTCCCCAGGACTCTCCAGGGCACAAGACAGGAAAAGCCTATCGATATGCTAGCAGTGTGCAGTGAGGAACTCAAACAGGGGCAGTCATGGTGCAGGAGTTAAAAAACAAATGGAATCAGAACAAAAATCAATGCAGGAATCCCAGGCAAGCAGTCCTCAGCTCCTTCCACAGGGGAAAGAGATGAAAGGTTTCATAGCACCAAGTATTGCCACACAGTGGTTCAGGGCAGTAAGGAATCCCTGCTCCCATTAAAACTGCAGGGGGAACTTAGCTGGGATCTGGCCAGGCACCATGGTCACTGTCCTCTGTCTCTGCCCATGAAGAAAGAAATACATCTCCTGACTGTGAGCAGTCAAGGATGGGTTTGGGGTAGCTCACTTGCAGCATGAAGCTCCAAGCTCAAGAGGGAAACAAGCACCAAATACAGGATCACAGATGCCATCAGCTGCAGTGCCTGGGGTCCCTTCAAGGTGACATGACCAGCAGCACATACACCGCCACCAGTGAGTCAAGCCACCTCCCAGAAAAGTTGTTGCCTGCTCAGGGCTTTCAAGCAGCTGTTCCCAGGCACTGGAGCTCACACCAAGGCCACTCCTGCAGTTGGGACAGCTACTCCAGATTCCCCTTCCTCCTGACCAGACTGAAAACAGGGATGAGTTCATAGAATCACAGAATGGGTTGTTTGGAAGGGCCCTTAAAGACCATCTAGTTCCAAGCCCTCTGCCATGGGCAGGGACACCTTCCACCAGACCAGGTCGCTCAAAGCCCCATCCAACCTGGCCTTGAACACTTCCAGAGAAGGGGCATCCACGATTGCTCTGGGCAACCTGTGCCACTGGCTCACCACCCTCACAGTGAAGAATTTCTTCCTAATACCTCATCTAACAGGGAACAATTTCTTCCCAGTATCTAATCTAAATCTTCCCTCTTCCAGTTTAAAGCCATTACCCCTTGTCCTATCACTTCATGTCCTTGTAAAAGTCCCTCCCCAGCTTTCTTGTAGCCCCTTTAGGTGCTGGAAGGCTGCTCTAAGGTCTCCCCAGAGCCTTCTCTTCTCCAGGCTGAACAACCCCAACTCTCTCAGCCTGTCTTCAAAGGAGAGGTGCTCCAGCCCTCGGATCATCTTCGTGGCCTCCTCTGGACTCTCTCCAACAGGTCCATGTCCTTCCTGTGTTGGGGGCCCCAGAGCTGAAGGCAGTACTGCGGGAGGGGGGTGTCTCACGAGAGCAGAGGGGGAGAATCACCTCCCTCGACCTGCTGGTCACGCTGCTTTTGATGCTCTATCACTACATCTTGCTGCAGCTCAACTGCTCACAATCAATAGCCAGCATCCAGCAACACATGCTCAGGAAGAGAGAGTGAGCCCTGACTGCTACAGCCTAGCCCACAGGGAAACTGACAGGCCAAGACCACAAGTGAAGAGTTTCTTGGTCATAGACACAGTTCTCCCTGCTACCACCCCCTCCACAAGCTAAGCCTGCCTCAGGCTGTACAAGGCAGCCCAGAGTGCTCCCCACTGCCCTTCGTAGGGCTGGGGAAGACCAGGAAAATGGGAGTGAGTGTAGGGCAGGAGGGGCCTCACTACAGAGCAACCAACAGACTTTACAGAGGAGCAGCTGCCACCAACACCCCAGAAACCATCTGCATGTATAACCATGTGCACTTTGATGCCTGTGTGAAAACTTGAGCACGCAAAGAGAAGTGGTGGCTGCAGGACTTCCCCTCTCTCCTGAGCCTCCTCTCCTCTTCTCAGCAGGCCCCTTCCTGTGAGTCACTGTCTCTGCAGAGGCAAGGTGACACCTTGCCAGCCACTGAAGCCAGCCAGCTGCACAGTGGGGACAATTGTCAGGAAAGTAGCAGCAAGACCTCAGCTTGGGTTTCTTCAGAGGAGCACTTCAGGACTCTTGCTTCTTGGGTTCTTGCAGCAGAGTCCTCCTGCTGCGAACAAACGCTCAGCAAGAGCTCTGACCTCTGCTGCTGAGAAACATGACTGCAATGAGTGGGAAACAGTTGGCTCTGGTCCTTTTGTGCAGCGCTGAGGTAGGGAGCTGGGGATAATCCCTGACTGCTGTCGGCAGGCACTCGTTGCTGGTGGCTCGTGTATCCCTCCTGGCCCGAGGGTGGCAAGGAGACAACCACAGCCTCGGCCGACAAGCAGGTCAGGTTCCCCACATCTCCAACGCTACCTGAGCTGAAGCTTGCTGAACCAGGTGCTGACGGCACAGTCCACACGCATCACCAGAGAGATCCCCAGGAGGAGGCAGATGCTGCTCACCACGAAGCCCAGCGACTCAAAGAGGAACCTGCAGGCACAACAGACGCAGTAAGCATATCACAGCCAGCATGACTGCAAAGACAGGCTGCTACCCTCACGCCTAGCAGACTGATTATCCTGACAGTGAGGCTGGTAGCACCCCAGATCCTAAAACCTGGGTTACATTCACTACCCAGCAGTTGCTGCCTGCAACCTGGAACCCAAGCATGCCTCTGGTTTAAAGGCCATTCAGGAATCCCACACACAGGTGGGATTTTGAATCCCTCAGAGGCTGAGGCCACCCCATACTGCTAGTAGCCCAAAGGTTCACTAGTTTAGCATTTCTGGGTTTAACATTTCTGGTCTGGTATCCCTACCTTTGGCTCTTTGCACTGAGTATTCTTAGCTTCCAGGTAGGTTCTGTGTGTCCTTGGAAATCAAGAAAAGAAGAAATTTCTAGGCTCTAGCTCAAGTCCAGCTGAACTTGAAGCAGGAATTAGTTAAGGACAGTCCTACAGCCTCTGCTAGGCAAGAAGTCAGAAGACTGATCACAGGGTCTCTTCCAACATCAATGTCTACGAACTCTAGTCAAGATGTCACGGATATGAGTGCTAACTCAGCATCGGAGCAACTCCTGGGACTTACTTTGGGGCAAAGACCTTCCACACCATGAGGTGCCTCCTGAGGACCATAGCTGCACAAACACAGGCCAGAAGCTGTAGGGGAGATCATGAAAAACAAGTTACAAGTGACTCTGGAAAGACCTCCTGGGCACTAGGTTCACATCTGAAGGTGGTACTAAACTGCACAGACCCAAGAGGCTGGTACAGCACACATTAGAAATAAGCATCCCAAAGAGGATTCCCTTCCATCGTGTCCTCAAGTCAGGAAACAGAAGCAGCATGGGGTATGCGTAGGCCCTCCTGCGGCCAGGCTGGGACAGCACAGAGGATGGCTCACACTGTGGCTAACCTGACCTAATTATTTCCCTGAGAGGAGCACTCCCCCTCTCCTACTCCAGGGTCTGCCCTCTCCCTTGCACCGTCTCTGGTCTGATGACACAGGAGGATGATTTGAAGGGCTAAATCCCAGAATGCTATTCATTTCTTTTACAGTATTAAATTTCCGGTGCTTAGCTCCCTGTATCACCACAGCACAGAATCAGATGGAAACCAGAGCTGGTGCAAAATAGATAGGCATGGTTGGGAAGAGGGGGAGCAGGATTACAACCCTGCAGTTTCTGAACAGACACTGCCACTCTGGGCAGATGGGTACGAAAAGCAGCCTAATCTGTACTGCAGCTTCCATGCTGGAGCCCTTCCCAAAGCACAGAGCAAACGGCACAGCTGAGAAGAGGACCTGTGCAGCTGCTCTTCCACCTGCAACCAGACATATCATCCCTGGGCCTGTCTGTGCCCTGGCCGACCCCTTTCTCTCATCAGAGTGCCCCACGGTTCTCACAGCAACCCATTTTCCTGTTGGACAGCCTTCTTCACAGCCATCGTGCCTCTGTCTGTACCTGTGTCCCAAGGACAAAGAAGTACTTCAGCCCCAGCTGCAGCAGAGCAGTGGAGAACTTCTCTGGGGACTCCCGCAGCCTCATCTCCATCATGTGCTTCTCCACCTCCTGCAGCTCCTCCCGGGGCTCCTTTTTCGGCTTCCTCCTCTGCGAGCTGGGCATCTCACACACAAAGGGCCAAAGCAGGAGCAGAGGGCAGCCAACTACCTCAAGGACAAAGGTACATGAAGTTATTGGAGCCCAGGAGGTAAGGAGCAGTCTAGGCTAGGCTCTGTCATCATGCCCTGGACATGCAGAAAGCATATACCCCAGCTCCAGTTTGCTGGTCAGGCACAACTGCAGGGAAGCTGCAGGCCACGGGCAGCTCTGTGGCCTCAGAAGGGGACAGCGAGGATGTTCCTGTTCAGCTGGTGCCAGAGCCTTCATTGCCTCGTGCTCAGCCTGCAGACCTCTAGACAAGGCACAGCAGCGAGCCACATCTGCTCAGGCTCAACAGCCCAGGAAGAAATTGATTTACCTGCAAAGAGGATATGGGAGGCAAAGGTGTTGGCGCCCACCAGGACAGCAGGCAGGAGGTTTGTGCTGTGGTCAAGGTGGAAGCCCACAAAGGCTGCATTCCAGTGGATGGCCGGAAAGATGGGTTGGTGCCCTGTGGAATAGAAGAACTGGGAAGCAGCAAGGAGCCAGGAGATAACTGCATACCAGGGCACCGAAAAAGGCTCTGAGAGATAAAAAAAATGAGAGAGAAAGAGAGATCAGCATTGAAGAACAAGACAGATCCATGGTCAATAAAAGCCTACTGACTTTTTCTCTCAGGTTCCCTTTCCACGCTCTCTCTTTTGAGAGACAGAAACCAGCCAGGCGCTCACCACAGATATAGCAAGGGGCCAGGCATTCCTTCTGCTGCCCACCCTGCTACTGGACTCTGTCGGCAGCAAGGAGGTTTGGTGGTTGCTGACTCTGGGAAGAACGGATGGGTGTAGACAGATGGGTCCCTGACACAAGGGACTCTTCCTCCTCCCACGTTACACCCCTGCTGTATTCATCTCTCCTCCACTAGAGGATTTAAGCAGCTCTAAAAAAGCTAGGAGGATCCCCTGAGGAACAGTGCACCGCCATTCCCTAAGAGCACAGACTGGACTCTGCCTCTCTCACTGGAAATAAGACAAGGTTGCTGCAGATAAGGCCCAGGTCGCACATCCAGAAGATGCTCTGCTGAGCCCTGACTCACCAGCATCTCCAGCAAGGCCTCTGGCACGCGTGTGGATGTGCAGCAGCAGAAAGGCCTCCAGGAAGAGGAGCAGGAAGGCAAGACTCAGCCGCTCACTGTGCAGAAGCATCAAGAGGAAGCCCAGCAAGGTGAGTGCTATGACCAAGGCTGCTGAGTACACGCTGCCCAGCCCATACGCTGCAACAGTGGCCCTGCAGCTGCCCCGCTCCACGAAGCAATTCTGAGACTCCTGCATCCTCTTGTAGATCTGAGGGATGACGTGGAGGAAGTCGACTTCAGAGCTGGGAACGCCCAAGTAAGGAGTGACAATGGATCCTGATGATTCCCGCGTGTCCTTTGCGAACACAGTCATGGGATTGCACAGCAGGAGCAACAGTCCCACGGATGCTAGTCCATAGACAGCCCACGGAAAGGCAACAACTGCCACCTGCACCAGCTCCTGCAGCTTGCCCAGAGAGTCCTCAGCGCTGGAGGCAACGGCCCAGTAGCAGGCAATGCAGAGGACGACCAGTGGGAAACCCCAGCGCACAAAGAGCACAAGGGGGTCCGAGCTGTTCAGGTTGCCGTAGTGTCGCAGCCAGCTCCGCACTGCATAGACCAGCCCAGCCAGCAAGGCCACGCACAGGAGGTAGAAGAGGTTCTTGGCCCGTGTGTTTCTCAGGCTGGCAAGCGGGGAGAGGAAAAGAGAGGGCCGGCACTGAGGGATTTCTTCACGGCACTGGTGGAAGAAACCGGAGAGGCGCACGCAGACCAGGAGCATGGCCACGAGGCACAGCAGGTACCAGATCTCTCTCCGGTAAGAAGAAAAGCCAAGGAGCTGCTGCTTGGGGCCTTCTGGCATAGTCAGGCGACCGTCCCAGTGGAGCTTCCCTACTAGCAACATCACCAGCGAGGCCAGCAGGAAGGGGGCCACCCGGGCCTCGGCC